GGGGGTTTTAAAAATTGGTTTGTGGGGGGGGGGGGGGGGGGGGGGGGCGGGCGTACTCATTTGTTGCTTGCCGTAGTCATTTGACCATGGACCACGCGTCCCTTTCGAGACGGAGCACCGTTCCTACCCCTACTAGAGACACCACCAACATTTGGGAGCTCTTTACGTTTCTGCCACAAACTACATAAAAATTTCTTGCACATCTTATCCCCGTCCTCTAGGGCCTCTTGTGCCCACCATCTATCGCCAATTATCGCGACCGTTTTTTCGCTGTTGTCTAATTTACCAAACTTGTCCATGTCACACCCTCTCTGTCTAATTTCCTCCTCGAGGGGGGGTACTCATAGTCGTGCATGCCGTAGTCGTTAGACCATTGACCTCGCATCCCTACAAAGCCGGGACGGAGCACGCCGGGTTCTCACCGGACCAGGCTCTCACATCACCAAGCGCGAAGCGCCGTGAGGTGTTCGGCGAGTCGCATGAAGGGTGCGCTGCATCCTGCTAAGGGTGTTCGGCATCTTGTGCTTACTTCCTTGCGTACGGATGACCGCTGCGTATGACTTAATATGTTTTCTGGTGCTTTTACTTCCGGAGACAATTATAACACTGTGTAACTGCCTCGAGGATGCTTGACCATTTTAACACAGCGTGGTGCGATCATCCCCCTTTGTGCGGAGTGAGGGTTCTCGACCCCGCACAACACCATCTATTCGACCACCATAATGGTTTCCGCAAAAAAAAAAAAGGCAAGGAAATACCCGGTAACCTGGTTGCCGAGTTCATGAAGTGAAATGGCTTCTTTTACAACGTCGTTGCCAAGCGACGAAAACCCAATCCCGATGGCAAACACCGGGGGGGGGGGTTGTCAGGGGGGTGTGGGAAACTCAGGTCTCAGGGGGGGTGTTATCATAGGCGACCTTACGGTAGATTCCGCCAGTTCGTCCATGTGATCAACGAAACACCTGTTTGATGCATCATCATCACGGTGCTCGAATCGATTTTCGCCGCCGCCGGGCAGGAGGAGATGCGCGCGCTCCAGCAGAAGATCTCGCAGCAGTCCTCGCCGGCCTCTCCCCCGCCGCCGCTGCCGCCGCCGCCCCCGATTCTGTACTCCTACGCGGGGGGAGGAGGAGGAGGAGGAGGAGGAGCCGGTACAGCGGCACCGTTGGTGACGAGCAGGCCCGGGGAGGAGCAGCTCTCCATCGCCGAGAAGGTGGCCCGCGGGATCGGAGCGGCGCGGCAAGACCCCGCCGCCCAACCCGGCGCCGGCGCCGGCGAAGGACTACTTGATGGCCGCCGGAACCCCAACCCCTCGCTGCGGGGGGCGACGGCGCTTGGAGCGGACGGGGGGTTGGGGACGGAGGCGGCTGCGGCGGTGCCCAAGGCACGGGTGGTTCAGGTAGACGGGGGCTCGGCGGTAGCAGAGGCGCCCGCTATGACGATGCAGCGGGCGGGTGGTGACGCCGGAGCGGTGGCGGCGGCGGGGCTTAAGGGGGGCGAGTTTTCGTCGTTCACAGCAGCAGCAGGAGCACCTGCTGCTCCTGGGTATGGGGACGCGCAGGGAGAGGTGAGA